TGGCTGATGGATACAACTCTAGGTTGAGATCCGAAGCTGGGAAAAGCAGAGAGAGGATCAGTTTGGCTTGCATCCTAGCTATAGCTATGGGACTGTTTACTAGTAATACACACGGAGTCATCCACTGTGCGTTTGGGAGATGGGGTAGGGAAGGGTAATGGGAAGGGAGCCTGCATGGGATAGCATCTGGTTGTTTTACTCATGATTCTAAGAAATTTGTTGGTTGCTTTTGAGAGGGAGGGTCCCAAGGAGATGCTTTAGAGGTCATGTTCTATGTTCTCTGCCATTTCTTTGAAATTGCGACCTTATCGGCATCTTTACACATGAGGGTTATAGATGTGTGGACAGGATGAAAGTGATCGTAGATGAGATGAGCAGAGAACACCACCATAAAAGACAGGCTCATTTCCAAAGGTAGCTTATGGAAATGTGCCCTCCTACTTGGTAATCACACCACAGAGAAATTGCATGTCTGTTGGTACAGAGTTAATCATCAGGAAAAGATATCTCATATCATGTTATTCATGTTGGTCCTGGTGGCACAGCGGCCCCAGGGCACTCATTTAGATTCATGCGTTTTCCCACCTACATAAAAAAACTCGTTATCCTTCCCTCTATTTATCTGCCCACTATTCTTTCTGACGCCCCCACAGCCTCTTTCTCTTGCCCTGTGACATCTGAGCTGCTGTCATCTGCTTGAGGTCAGCAGAGTTACTAATTGTCCCACAGGATAGCTAGAGGCACGGGGGGCCTGGGCAGAGCCTGCTGGGAGGAGCAGTGTCCTGGAGCAATGTCTACCCCCAGCCCCTGGGTCTGTCCCTCAGCTCCCTTTGTCTAGATGATCAGGACAAGCCTCAAGAGCTGATGTGGTGAGTAGCACCACACCAGGGCAGAGGCGGCCTGCAGCCTGGGGTCTGCTCCTCCAAGCCACTTCCCAGCCTTCCTTCTGGAGCCCAGCCTGTACATCGACCCTGGTGAGGCCATCCTGACCGGGCCTTACGGGACCCAAGGCATATCCTGAGCCAGCTTGCTGACCCTCATCTGCTGTGTTTGGCTGTGCTTCACAGCCTCCCCTCTGCTCCTCTCCTCTTCCCCTCCACACAGCCAGCTTCATCAGCCTTTCAGGCCCAGCTAGGTGTCTCTTCTGGGAAGCCTGTCTTGGACGCCCCTCACCCCAGACTGGCTCAGCAACCCTCAGTGCTCCCCATGAGGAGTCCATGAGATATTTCCTCAAAAACATGGAGCACAGCGTCTGGCGCAGTTCAGCAGGTATTTTTGGAAGACCTATCCTCTGTCAATCAGCAGGGGACATAAATGTGAAAGAGGCACAGTCCCAGCCCTTGATGGCAGGGTGACAAACTGGGACACCCCTGCTTGCACATGCTATGCTGTGAGCCATGGCGACAGCAGGAACTGGGTAGGCTCATAGAAGAGGGATATGGGAACTGTCTGGGGATTCAGGGTGGGCTTCCTGGAGGAGGTGATCCCTAGGACCAGTTACAGGGTTGGCCAGATTTCAGGAGCAGAGGGTTAGGGTAGAGTTGCCAGCAAACAGCGGAGCATAGGTGAGAAATATCCTGTGGGGTGGGGCGACTCAGAGCAACTCAGAACAGTGAGAACCAGGTTGGGATTGGGGTCAAGATGGAGCTGGGGAGACTTCTCCTCACAGCTTCTATGGGTCAGGACCTGTTTTGAATGCCTGGTATTGGGAGAGCCCCTTGTGGACTGATGCCATGTCCTGGTGACTCAGGGAGGCACAGATAGTACAGGGTGATCTCACATTCTGAACTAGTGGACGAGGTTGACAGGCCTGGATACCAGAGGAAGCAGCAGATAAAATGTTTCTGGATGGAAGGTCTCATTCTGATCTTTGTCTGTGGTTTTCAAACCACTGCTTCCTTGGGTCATGGGTGGGTCATTTGCACCCGACCACCATGGTTCCCAAGTGGCAGCCACAACAGGCCTCAACCCAGGTGCTTACAGATGAACTAGCAAACTGTGGGCACTCTAGGACACCCACTGTCCTCACCTGTGCCCCTCCGTTTCTGTGTCACTCATATTATCCTGTCTCCTTAGCTGCTTCTCTCCCTGGCCCAGGCCATAAGGAGGTGTGCCCACAGGCATGGCCAAGGGGTCAGGACTTGGTATATTTCACAAAAGAGCAGAATCAAGGACTGAGCCAGCCAGAAGGGCCAGGTCCCTAAGAGACTGCCTTAGCACTTTTCTATATTTCCATGCTCTTGTGCTAATCTCCCTGTAGTGAATTCCCTCTGAACACCTGGGCTGTGTTAGTCATCCTAGCACCTTCCAACTACTGGAAAGAAAGTGGCTCTAGGAGCAACCAAAGGGCTAATGTTGGGTGGATGAATCACCAGTTCTGTATCTCTCTGATTGTTGTTTTGGTAACACAGGTAATGATGGGAAATATGTTCACTGTAAAAAAAAAAAAAAAAATGCATACCTAGACAGCATAGAAATACAGAAATATATATTTCTATACATATAGAATACATTAATATGTGCTTACTATAAATATATATAGTCATGTACCACATAATGACTTCCATCAACAACAGAACACATATATGACAGTGGTGCCATATTATAATACCATATTTTTACTGTATTCTTTCTATGTTGAGACATGTTTAGATACACACGTACTTACCATTGTGTTATAACTGCCTACAACATTCAGTGTGGTAACAGGCTGTTCAGGTTTGTAACCTAGGAGCAGCAGGCTGTTCCAAATAGCCTAGGTGTGTAGAAAGCTCTCCCAGCTAGGTTTGTGTAAGTGCACTCTATGGTGTTTACACTATGACAAAATTGCCTAAGGACCATTTCTCAGTGCATCCCCATTGTTACGCAACTCCTGACTGTACATATGTGTGTGTGCGAATATATGAAACAAGTAAAAATACTTTCTCACGCCCCATTCCAACCTTCCCCAGCGGAAAACCACTGCTGTGTTATGGCGGGTAACCTTCTAGACGTTTTTTCTGTGCATTTACGTAATAAACCAATCCCTGTATATTTATGCATTTATGGTTTTTTTTTTCTTTACACAAAGAAGATTATATCAGTAGCCAGTGACTTGGTGTATTCACTTCACTTAATTTATCTTTGATTCTTTTCTCTTCTTTTTAACTGGGCTAGAACGTTCCACAGCAGGGACATAACATTCTGTTCTGCTAGAAATGGGTATTTAGGTTATTTCCCTTTTTTGTTATTACAAACAGCACTGCAGGGAATCTCTTTGGCCATACATTTACATTTGTGTGTGTGGGCATCGCTATCTTTATACATACAGAATGGATTCCAAGGCACAGACTAGTATACAAAATGGAATAGTACACATATTCCATTTTGATGGCTACTGCCAAACACTCCTGAAAGGCGCCAATTTCCACCCTCCCCTATGACGTTTGGAAGCATCAGGTTCTCCCACCCTTCCCAATATTGAGTGTTATCATTAAAACATGATTTGCCAGTTTGATGAGGAAAAATTATTAATATAGTCTACTGTTTGATTACTGTTTCTTTAATCATGAATAAACTTAATTATGAAAAATAATACCACATCCTTTTATATTTATCTAATCTTAAGCATCTCTTCATGTGTTTATTGGCCATTAGTATTTATTTTTCTGCAATTGGCCTGTTCATATCCTTTAATGATTTTTCAGGTGTAGGGGCTCTTATGGACTTTGGATATTAATCATTTGTTAGGTTAGTTGCTAATATTTTTCTCTCGGTGTGTTGCGTGTCTTTTATCTTTGTTTATGGCATCTGTTTGCCAAAGGGAAGTTTTAAATATTTATGCAGAATAATTTGTAGAAGTAATTAGGGAATTTACATTGATTTAGGCTAGTGGTTGGTCCCTGTTTTAGCTATTGTTCGTGTGTATGTATAGATATTATGGTGATTAATAAACCTTTTAGAAGTTAAATAGATCTATGAGCACACTTATTTTCATGTATTTCCCTCAATGGGCGGATGCTGAAAGTATGACTTTTACTGTGTTGGGAGTTGTAGAGGATCTATGATGCTGCAAACACATTCCCTAGACATGGAGAGATTCGGGACCACTGAGACAGAAGCTGTTCATGAGGGTTAGATGGCTGAGCAGCCCCACATTTCCATTCTTACAGATTAGCATTCAAAAGAAAAAGAGCACTTCTTCTATTGTCTATATGTCACCCGTCTCGAGGAAAGGGAGTCCAGTTGCCCCATTACTATCCTTATTGACTCTGGTCACATGTCCACCCCTGCCAGAGGGTAGGGACACTGTGACTGACAGTCTAGCCTGACCACACGTGGTGGTGAAGGGTCAGCTCAGTAATGGAATGAGGGTGGTAGATGGACAAGCACACAAACTGCAGGACCCACACATGCTACCCCAAGACAGTGGCAGGGAAGCTGGCCTGAAGTCAAGGAGTAAGCATGAGACAGGCTTTCACCCACCACACATGCCTTGAAAGTCATGTGTGACTTTCAAAAGTCGTTGGCTTTCTTCTGTAAAGTGCTCTCAGGGGTTAAATGAGTGATTCTGAAGGCCCACAAAGCATAAAGCAGATGATGATAAATGGGGTATGTCAGACACCCACATCTGGCACCTAGCAGGTCTTCAATAAGGGATAATGGTTTTCCTCCTTGTTGTTACTGGAATTGAAGGGCATTAGGAAGAGGTAATCAAGTCCTAAGAAGTTAGTGTGTGAGTTCTTCTTCCAACTGCCCTGAGTGAGGCCCCTTTGCTTGGGAGGCCCCCCTGGTGTTGAGTAGATGGCAAGGAGAGGGTAGTGGCAGTGAGGAAGGGGCAGGACACACTGGGGCTCAGAAGCCTTTCTCGAATGGGAAGCTGACTTCTGCTCCACTGAAGTGTACCCTGGTTCTCAGTGCAAGAATAGCTCCTCAAAGTGAAATCTAGCCCTGCACTGGGCCGTGCAGCTGGCCTGGCGCCCCAGGAGCTATGCATCACAACCTGCCTTGCTTCGTTTCAGTCCACCTGATCCCGGTGTCAACAGCTAAGAATGGAGTGAGTAGCAAGAGTCGAAAGAGAATCATGCCCGACCCTGTGACGGAGCCCCCTGTGACAGACCCTGTTTACGAAGCTCTTTTGTACTGCAACATCCCCAGCGTGGCTGAGCGCAGCATGGAAGGTAGGCTTGACTGTGCCGCCAGGACAGACACCCCTTTGGGAACTAGTTATTCCAGCAGCATTGCATAGCGGTAAGGAGCAAGATGGCCAGGACCCAAGTGCTGCAGTTGCCACCAGGCTGTGCCCTTGAATGAGTTCCTGGGTCCTTGCATTCTCCTCTATAAAATGGGAGTAACTCGCAGGACTTATGCCTGGGACTGGGGAGGTTTCAGTAACTGCTCTGAACATACCACGTGGCTCACGATCAACCCACCACAAATGTTTGCCATCATCATGATCTTCAGTGAGACAGCACCAAGGTAGAAAGGGGGCCTTGGCAGGCACTAGCGCAGTACGTTGAGACACTCTGCTTTTCAGGGTAGCCTCTTGGGACTTAGGATGTCCACAGGATGTCCTGCTGGCGTCTTGCCATGGAAGTGAGGCAATTTCTACAAGTTTTGCTTTTCTAAAAGTGTATCAGAGCATAGTGTTGAATCCTTATTGATCTCTTTATGGCCTCTCTTGTCTTATGAAAGATTTAAAGCAGAAATCATTGTTTCTAGTATTTCCGTGGATTTCTCCCTGGTCTGTGCCTGTGAGTGAGGCCACATTAGTAGTCATGCCCGCATTTCAGCGGCCTCCCGTAGTTTCCAGGAGGTCTGCGACATAATCAGCCTACTCACGTTCCTCTGTCCCGCCTTGTAAGACTGTTCAGTGGCCCCCATCCGGCATGGCAGCCAGGGCCCCTTCACTGTGGCTCTGCAACCGTATGGTGGCCCCTGCTGCCTCCCGCTCAGATTCCCGGCACGAACATGGCCAGGTCATCCCCTTGGCCCCCTTCTAAAAGGATTGACACCTATTGAGTGATAACCAGACAATGTGCTTCTCTCTCGCAGGTCATGCCCCGCATCATTTTAAGCTGGTCTCAGTGCATGTGTTCATTCGCCACGGAGACAGGTACCCACTGTATGTCATTCCCAAAACAAAGCGACCAGAAATTGACTGCACCCTGGTGGCTAACAGGTAAATTGCACTCTTTTTCTAAAAGTCATTTTCAAGTATCTGTTATATCCTGTAGGATGGAGAGTGACAGGACAGATGAGTGACCTACACTTGGTGAACCATACTGTTTGCAGGAGCCTGGGCTCAGAGCAGTCCTACATGTGAGTACCATTATACAGTTGAAAAGACGGAGGCCCACAGAAGCAGGGACACCTGTTTGAAGCAACACAGCAGATATACTGAGCCCAGGCCAGTCTGAGGCTCACCCTCCCACCCTGATGTTTTTCACTTCAATAAACAGTTGGGACACCGTACAGCGAGCACTGAGTTAACAGTCCTCCGCCCCAGCTCATCTGCTCCATTCAGAGCAGCGGGCAAGCCCCTTAGTGTCCTCTGAGCCTCAACCTCCTACCTCTGAAAGGGGAATCACAAGGCTCCCCCTGCAAGGTTGGGGCAAGGAGTAAGTGAGATGACACAGACAAATGCACGTTAGCAATTGCCGGGCTATATAAATGTAAGAATTATTTTACCCTTCTAATTTTTCACAGGAGTAGAGGCAGCCTGTTCTTGATTGAAAGCCCTTAGGATGAAAAATATTTGAACAGAGAGTGGAAATTGTATGGAAATGGCATGGCCCTAAGATTAGAGGCATAGTTAGCAATAAAATGTTGGGCTAGACCTCAGCAAATGTGTCTGGAGGCACATAACATTCTAGCAGAGTTTACTGAATGAGGTCGGGAGATGAAGGAAGTGGGGAAGACGTTATTTTGATGGAATGCTTCTGGGGTGCCAGCCTGCCCCGGGAGGGCGAGCCTGGTGAAGTCATGGATTACCTCACTACAGCCAGGGCTGTTCTTTAAAAGTGACACTTGGCAGCTTGTCTTGCAGGGCCCCTGTCACAGTGATGCCAGGACCCTCTAATGGGGCCATTTTTAGTGCTCCCATTTGAGAGGTTCAGTTCCTAGGGACCAGTTGGCCTGGCTGCCTCTGCCCTCATTTCCCTTTGCCTAGTTTTATTTTATTGAACATTCTGTATTTTTAGAAGCCACCTTAAATCCTTTGTGTAAAGAGGGTGGAGTATGCATATTTTGTTACTTAATATCATTTAATTAATGTAATCTTTAAAAACAGTAATAGTTGACTCATCATTATAAACAGGTACTTAAGAGGAAGAGTGAGCAGGAACCCCGGTGAAGGGGACCCTCTCTGGGCTGCTGACTCCCCCAGGACTGTGGGATCTGGGTCACCAGCAATACCTGCTGTCCTCCCAGGTGCTACTTCAGCTTTAAAAATTACTAAAGTTGTGACCCCCTAAAAGGTGGTGCGCCCTGGAGCATGCCCATTATTCTAGTCTAGTGAAATGTAATACTGGGGCCAGCAGGCGGGGTGCAGTGAGCTGAGCCAAACACTAGCTGGCGGGCCACAAGTTTGTTGCCCCAGGGTTTCCATCCATGATGACACACCCTGTGACTCTCAAAGCCTTTGTAGTAGAAGCTGCCTCTTTGTGAATGCCATGTGCTTTATGAGGAAGATGCTATTTTAACCCTCATAGTATTACGTTTAGCCAGCATTAAGGTGATCAGTTATTTATATGCCATATTTAGCGAATGCTTTTTTGCATTCATAAATATGAAGTAATATGCTTTTCTACATCCAAGGAAGAGAAAACATTCACTTTGATCAGCATTTATTACACAAATTTTAGTTTTATGCTTCTATCATGTGCCAGGTACCGGAAGGTAGTACACAAGCAGGCACCTACATGAAGTGAGGGGGCCAGCCCTGTGATGGTCCAGGGGACAGAACGTTCCCGATGGAGTAAGCAGCAAGTGCAGGGGGCCTGAGGCTGGAAGAACTGGGCAGATGTGAGCCACAATAAGACCAGGGTATGGCTGGGCTGAAGCAGTGAGGGAGGGAGTGGGCTTCTGAGGGGTTGCAGAAGAAAGGCCACTCCTTGGGGCCACCCCTGCCCTCAGGGAGCCCAGCACCTTTGCAGAGACAGGCCCAGTGCCAGGACACAGCAGCCCTCCATGAATGATAGCTGGCACAGGTGGCAGCAGTGGTGGCAGCATTAGAGAAAGAAGAGGAAGAAATGGAAGAAGAGCAAGAAGTAGAAATGGAAGTAATTTGGGTGCCATATTAGGGGGCATGAGCCAGAAGAGGGGCAGCCTGACCCAACCTGGGGCAGGGAGGGGACACGGGGTGGCAGATCAGGGAAGGCCACACAGAGAAAGGGACCAGAGGGTGTGCAGGAGCAAGTCAGGAAGCAGCTGGTGCTGAATGGCCCCTTGGGCGGTGAGACCAACCCGTGCAGTGTGAGGTGGTGGACAGCTTGGTACATTGGGGCCCTCAAAGCTAGTTTCACAGGCTCAAGCGTGGAGTGGAAAACTGGGTGGGAACGAGGTTATCTGAGGCATTGAATACCCAGCAGGGGAGTGTGTCCAGGCATGAAGGCAGGGAGAGAGCCGGGGAGTGAAAGGGATGAAAAGATGAAGGTTTCTGACAGCCATAGTGTGGAAGATGAACTTGAAGCTGGTGGCAGCTAGTGGTGGTATTATTAGGATAGTGATCCAGAGAAGAGACTTCACTAGGAGTCAAAATCCACATCCTTAAAATGCCCCATGAGGCTTGAGTGCCCTTCCTCCACCCCTTACCCGCCTGACCTTGCCCTCCGCTCTCCTTGTGCTCGCTCACTCTGCTTCAGCCACGATGCTCCTAGCTCTTCTTTGCACATTCTGGCACCATATGCTGCCTCAGGGCCTTTGCACAGACTGGTTTCTGTCTCTGGAAGCCTCTTCCCACAGATAGCTTTATGGCCAGTCCTCTTACCTCCTTTAAGTCTTTGCTCAAATGTCACCTTCTCAATAAAACCTACTCAGAACACTCCAGTTAAAATGACAAGGTGCTCCTCCTTCCACCCTGGTCTCCACAACCCCCTTAGCCTGCTCTTCTCTTTGCCACAGCATCTGTTACTTTCTAACCCAGACAAACACACACACACACACACACACACACACACACACACACACACACACACAGTGTTCATTGTGCATTGTCTGTTTCCCCAGGCTAGACTATAACCTCCCTGAGGGCAGATATTTTTATTTGTTTTTGTTCACTGCTCCTGCATCCCAAGTGCCTAGGACAGTGACTGGCATATGAGTGGTGGAGTGTGATTAAATGTTCGTTGAATGAATAAATGATGGCAACTGAAACTCAGAAAGTGGCAGCAGAGATGGAGAGAGTGGATGGGTCTTAGAGAAGGTTACAAGGTGGGATCAATAGGACTTGGTGGCAGGTTGAACATGGGTATGAAAGACAGGCAGGATGGGGCCCAGGTTTCTGACTAGGTGTCTGTCTGGTGGTGGTACCCCTCCCTGGAGTTAGAGAACACAGAAGGGAGGTGTGGGGGGAAGTTAGTACAGGCATTGATGCTACATTTGAGCTGTTATGAAACATTCAAGAGACAGTTTCTGGTCAGTAGTAGGCTGTATAATTTTTTTTTTTTTTTTTTGAGATAGAGTCTTGCTCTGTCACTGGGCTGGAGTGCAATGGCGTGATCTCGGCTCGCTGCAACCTCTGCCTCCCAGGTTCAAGCGATTCTCCTGCCTCAGCCTCCTGAGTAGCTGGGACTACAGGCACATGCCACCACGCCCAGCTAATTTTTGTGGGTTTTTTTGTGTTTTTTTTTTTTAAGTAGAGACGGGGTTTCATCATGTTGGCCAGGATGGTCTCGATCTCTTGACCTCATGATCCGCCCTCCTTGGCCTTCGAAAGTGCTGGGATTACAGGTGTGAGCCAGCCTAGCCTATATAATTTTGCAGCTCAGGGGCAATGGTTTGCTGGGAGACAGAGGTTTAGCTGAGAATCTTCAGCACGTTGATGGCATTTGAAGCTGTGGGCTTATATTACAAACAGAACCTGAGAAGTGAGGGATGGGCCAAAACCAGAGTCCTGGGAAACACCAGCATGTGGTACTTAGAGAGAAAAAAGGATTTCAAGAGAGGCTAGGGATGTTGCAAACAGGGAAAAGTCAGGAGAGCAATGTTACGAGGGCTAAGGAAAGCAGGGCAATGCATCACATCAAGTAAGGCCAAAAAGTCCAGAAAGCTAAAGACTAAGAAAAGTACTTTGGGCTTATCTTTCCATAACCTCATGTTATTAATATGTAAGATGATAAATTCTTTAATTGGCGTGAATTTTAAAAATCTAGTGTGATTCCAGTTTCCAGCTATGTATGCTCTTTTGGATTGTGTTTTCTGGTAACAGTGTCACTGGTCGTCTGCCTCCTCTGCTTGCCTTAACATTCTGTGCAGAACTCAGTCATTGCTGAGGTTGTAAATAAACAATTTTCTCATGGGTGTGTAGATTAGCCTTGGGGATCAGCCTCAAAATTTGTGGCATATATAGATGTGAATAATGCATATAAAAGTGAAAATAAGGACTCCAAAGTGAATGACTTGAAGACTTAAGATAGTAACACTTTTGATTCTTCCAGTTTTCATTATGAAAGAAGATTTTCAATGAGCCCACAATAATACGAGTTTTTACTCAAGAAAAAGTTATTTTCATGGATATACTTATGTCTGCATTAGTCAGGGTACACCTATTTTATAAGCTTATTTTGTCGCACAGGGACTCATGAATGCATTACCTTAAATAACAAGGAAGTTTAGCTCTTCCTCATGTGAAGGTCTGAAATGTGTGTTCCAGATCGTGCTAGTCAGCTCCACCTGGTCATTCAGGTTTCTCCAGGTTGTTGCTTCTACTATACCCTGGGGATGGCTACATGGTTGAACCCTGGTTGTGCCATGCCTAAATAATGGCTGGAAGGAAGGAAGAGAATGTGAAGCAGGCATAATCATGATCAGAAAGCCTAAACCCAGAAGTGGCATACATCTTTCCATTCTATTGGCGAATGTGGCTTTACCTCATTTCAGGACCTCAGAAATAGGATCTAACCAAGTTTTTAAGAAGAGAATAGATTTTAGTGTGCAACTAGTACACTAGTCTCATCCACAGTAGCCTTTAGTTTTTATACAGTCATCCCTTGGTATCCACAGAGGATTGGTTCCAGAATCCTCCTTGGATACCAGAATCTGAGATGCTCAAGTCCCTTATGTAAAACGGTGTTGTATTTACATAGAACCTGCGCACATTCTCCCATGTACTTTACATCATCTCTAGATTACTTATAAATCCAAATACAAAGTAAATGCTATGTAAATAGTTGTTATACTGTGTTTTTTATTTGTATTATTTTTATTGTTGTATTGTTATTTCTTATTGGGTTTTTTCCAAATATTTTTGGATCCACAGTCGAATCTTCCAATGCAGAATCTGAGGAGATGGAGGGCTGACTGCATTTTCATAAAAATCTGAATATTTTAACAAACAGTATGGGAACTTATCGTATTATTTCTACAGATTATGGAAGGCTTGCTATTTTCATGAAGCATCCAAGGATGGGACACTTCACAGTTGAATTCACTCACATATATTTTTGGAACATCTGCTGTGTGCTAAGCACCCTCTGGGCTCCAGGGATGGAGCAGTGGACCAGGCAGACAGGGCCTGGGTGGTCAGATCCAGGCCCAGGACTTGAGTTACCTGGTCTGCTTTCCACTAAAAAGATAGAGCCATTTGTTGTCAAATCTTTTTTTTCTTTTTCTTTTTTTTTTTTTTTTAATGAGATAAGATCTCTCTTTGTCACGTAGGCTGGAGTACAGTGATATGATCACAGCTCACTGCAGCCTCTACCTCCTGGACTCATGCGATCCTTCTGCTTTAGCCTCCTGAGTGGCTGGGACTATAGGCCTGAGCCACCATGCCTGGCTAGTTTTTGTATTTTTTGTAGAGACATGGTCTCACTATGTCTCAAACTCCTGGCCCCAGGCAATCCTCCCACCTCGGCCTCCCAAAATGCTGGGATTACAGGCGTAAGCCACTATGCCCAACCTGTTAGCTATTCTTTAAATGAAGTTTTTCTTCCACGAGTCTTCATCTTTGTATGCCAAAAACAAAAACAAACAACAAAAACAGAACAAAACAAAAATAAAAAACATTGGAATGAATACAGTTAGATATAATTAAGCAGTCAGATGCCCTGAAAACCTGGGTCATCTTAGCAAACACTTCCAGTTGTGAAATTCCATTTCTAAAATTGGCAGCAAAGCTTTCTGAGATCCTCAAAAAAATCTCCAACCTGAAATAATGGCCTGGCGCAGAACATTTGACTCCTGTTGGTGGATAGCCTTTGTTATGTGGATTACTCTTGGCAGCCTCATTGTCAGTCTGGACATTTTATTTCCCAGTTTGCAAACATTTATGTGCTTTAGTGTCAGGCAAAATAACATACCCTGTTTTTATGGAAAGGCATAACTCCTTTTAGCCATCCAGGGTGATTTATTAGACTATACTACATGTCTGGATTCGCATTCTCTAATTTAAAAACATATTTTTTAAAAGATGGATTTTTTTTTTAGCTTTGTGTTGTTGATAGATAATAAACTCATTTTGGCAGCCATTTTTAAAGCACTTTCAAAGGTAATTGGGCCTTCAGACAGCAGGAGTTTGCCATAAGAACAGTTTATCTTTGCTTCTTTTCATGCTGATTCTTACAGAGTTTAGTCATGAACTACTCGATCTGTCCACTTCTCTTCAGCTGGAAAATGTATATACATTCATAGGCTACTTCATTATTCAAAGAAAAGGTGTTTATATTCATAGATCATTTCATTATTCAGGGTAATTGTATATTAGTGACTAGATAGATTTACCACATATACTTTGTGGCAGAAATATAAATACTCTCAGATCTCATATATAAACTTTTTTTGACCTTTATTATTACCCTATATTAAATGAGAGGTTGTATGTCCAAAATGTGGAGTGAATTGTAAGAGATCCTGGTTATTTTACTCAGTTAACAATTTTCCTAAAGGAAGATTTTTCAGAGGTCAGAAACATTAAGGATTATGGGCGACCTTGGTAAAGGATAGGGTAGATTTTCTAGGAGGAAGGGATAGCTTGTGGAAAGTGGTGGAAGTGTTGAAGAATGAGGTGCGTTGTGTGTTGGAGGAAAGCAGGCCTTTGGCTTGGTGTGGCCAGAGCACAGCAGTAGGGTAGAGAGGGCCAGTGAGTACCAGGGCGGGGCCAGAACAGAGTGACAGCTGTGTGTGGCCCCTTCCAGAAGGTGGTGATAGAGAAGGGCAGTGACTGGTCAGAGTTACCTTTTAAATCAATCCTTCTGGCTGTGGAGAAGGCAAGATTATTAGAGGAGCGTGCTTAATCAGCAAGAAGACCAAGAAAGAGCCCATCGCCAGCCAGACAAAAGCTGCCTGAGGCCAGAACCCAGGTAGTAGCTGTGAGTATGAAGGAGAAGGGGATGGAAAAGCACCAGGAGGCAGAATCTGCAAGACATGGGGAGCAGACAACATGTGCAGGGGCAGGGAATGGAGAGAGTGGGACGACGCCCAGTCTAGGCGTGACTGCTGAGTGGGTGTTGGCACCTCCCAGAGAGAGAGCCCGGAAGACGGTGCAGGCTGGGGAGCCGGAAGGTAGAGGGCGAAGCTGAATCCCACAGTACTGAGTTCAGCAGAGGTTAGGAACTCCGGCAGACCTCACAGAGGGGATTTCATGTGTCAGTGTCAGTGGTCGAGAAATAATGAAATTGGAATTGCAAAGTGATTGAGCCGGTACCTGTTATGGTGGGATTTGGCTCGCTGAAGCTGGAAACTGTTTGGACTCCTCTGTAGCACTCTGACCTCTAACTCTCTCTACCATCCCTCTAGGAAACCATATCACCCAAAACTGGAAGCTTTCGTTAGTCACATGTCAAAAGGATCTGGAGCCTCTTTCGAAATCCCCTTGAACTCCTTGCCTCTTTACCCAAATCACCCGCTGTGTGAGATGGGAGAGCTCACCCAGACAGGTATGTGTGACAGCCACGTGCCCGGGGGCTCCCCCACCCGCTCTTCTGCTTGCATACCTTCTGAGCAATTCTCCTGGGCGGGGTGCTGTGCAGCTCAGAGGGATAAGCAAGGACTGGCTCTGCGAGGAGCTCGGTCACCAGGGCCTCTAAACATCAGAGTTATCAAAACTAAATAGAACCTTTCTCCTTCTTACAAAAACAATATGTGTTCATGAAGATAAATTAGGAAAGACAAGTAAAAGGAAGAAAAAGTTTAAGCAACTGTAATTCCACCACAGAAATAGACCCTTAAGAGTAACCCTTCTTCCTGTGCTTATGCGCATACACATCTTACTAAACACACTGTTTCATAACCCACTTTTCCACTCAACACATTTTGGTAATATTTCCCTATGAATAACTGTTTATCCACGACATCATTTGTGATAGCTCCATATTCTTTCACTCTGGATGGAGAATTGATCATTTATTTAACTAATCTCATGTTCTCAGATGTTTCTAACAAAACGTCTAATAGGTTTTCATGTACAAGACCTCAGGGAGGAAAATGCATGGCACAGTTCTCCTGCGCGTGGAGTTTGTTTGGCTGAGCTGAGTCCTCACAGAAGCGCAGCTTTCCCTCTGCAGCCCTAGTCAGACCATGTGCAGTCAGTTCACCGTCAGGTTAGGTTGGTGAGTTAACTGTGGAGTCATCTTTGCTGGGAATAGAGGAACAGGTGGTCCTTCAAGAGGTTTCAGTTTTCTGATTCTTCAGTCTGGAACCTCAGAGAACCTTCGCTTGGTCACCAGCCTTTATGGGTGAATTGGGAAGACCCATTGGCCACATTCTGTTTTCATGTTGCATCAGCTTCTTAAGACCTCAGCGGGGATGGGGGGAAAGTCCATGTCCTATAGTTGGCCCTCTTAGATTTTGCCATTATTATTGGGGGAATGATACTGGGTGACAGAGTGGAGCAAGCTGAAGCCTCTGGAGGACTAGCCATGGATAAGGAGTTGTGTCAAAAGCCTTTGGCAATTAGTTCCACATGCATTACTTTAGAACAAGGGTTTTCATCCTAACGGATCCAACACCCTCTTTGATTACACAATTAACTATTTTGCAATCTCCCTCAACTATCATGAAGTGAAATTTAAATATAACCAGCCGGGCATGGTGCCTCGCGCCTGTAATCCCAGCACTTTGGGAGGCTGAGGTAGGAGAATCGTTTGATCCCAAGGGTTTGAGAGCAGCCTGAGCAACATAGTGGAGCCCCGTCTCTACAAACAATTTTTTAAAATTAGCCAAGTATGGTGGCACGTGCCTGTAGTCCCAGCTACTCAGGTGCTGAGGTGGGAGGACCACTTGAGCCCAGGGGAGGTCAAGGCTGCAGTGAACCATGATCATGCCACTGCACTTCAGCCTGAGTGACAGAGTGAGGCGTGTCTCAATAAATGAATGAATGTAATCTTTCTATGCAGTTAATTATTTAAAAGTCATACGAGGGTCCCCAGCTATAACAAACAAAAATAAACTGATTTATTACCTAATTATATGTGTCTCAGTATAAATGCTTAAGAACAGCTACACTAGAAAATAGAATGAAATCTTCAAATGCTTGTACACAAATATGACTCTGACAGCTACAAATACAGATGATTGATGGATGCTGTATTGGTGACTCTAATACCACATGTTAGGACATGGTTTTTCTGAAATTCTGATCAAAACAAAGTGTAGATGTTCCTTAGTTTATATTGTATTTCTGGAAAATTCAGCCAGCATTAATATTATTCAAAAATGGTTTTGTGTTCCAGACACAAAAAAACAGAATTAGATTCTACAGGCTAAAGTACTCAAATATGTTTTGTACATGATGGAGTGTCTTCAAAACTTCAAAAGTTTTGTGGGACAGAGACATGTGTCCTTTCTGGAGACTATCTAGACCCCAGCCTCCACCCACTAGGTGCCAAGAATGCCCTTCCCCATATTATTGTGATAACTCCACCCCCAAGCCCTGTCTGAAGGCAGTAGCACTCTTGCTGAGAACTGCTGGTTAGACTCTCTGGTTAAAAATAACAGAAACCACTTCAAGCGAAAAAGGGAAATTCATTATAAGGATTCAGGAATGACTCACAGACTCCAAGACCAAGAGTTTGATCAGACCTCTAGAGACTGGAACCAGGAATAAAAAAGCTCTCTTGTCCCTGCTTCTCTCTCTAATTTTTTGCTGTGTCTATCAACAGAATTACAATCCCAGCCACACACACACAGATGAATTTGCAAATCCAAATTCTTGAGAGAGAGAGAATCCTTGAGGTCCTGGGGTTAGCATCCATCAGCCCTGGCTAACAGGTCAGGGTGACTGTGCAGAGAACAGGAGGTGAGGGTGCCAGTCTCTGGATCCAGGAGCTGCTACCTGAGAAGAGGCTGGGGGGTTGGTCCTCACACACCTAATCATTCATTCAGATCTTTCTTCTCCACTCATCTATCATCATCATTGTTTCTAAATTAGTATTACTCTAGAAATCATTTTTGTAATACTGTCTGCTCCTGTTTCCTCATTCTCTTTTAATGGTCACTTTTATTTCTATTTTAAATATCATGAAAAATGCATGGCTGTTGTAAACAGCTTTTGTCCCTGGTGCACTTATGGCAGCCCACAGTAACTGTGTAAGATAAGATTGCTCACAAGTGCCTACCCTGTTGAAGATGCTTTGGCAGCTGCTGAGTGTGAGAGGGGTAGCAGGATGAATAGGACCCTCCTGCCTGTCCTAAAGGAGCCTGCAGCTGCAGCAAACAATGCATGTGGAGACAACTGCCTGTAATGCCGGATACTGCAGGGCCTTAGAGAGTAAACACAGGCCTTGGAGTCAGACAGACCTGTAGCATGGGGAGGAGCCTGTCTTCCCAGCGGCTGGTGGTGAATTCGATGAGGTAGCATGTGTAGAGTGCCTAGAGCAGTGCTGGCATATGAGAGGCTCCCAATAAATGCAGTTGATGTCGTCATGGCCCAGCAGCATATGGGAAGAGGAAGGAATTATTAACTTGACCAGGGAGAAGACGAAGGAAAGCACTACAAAGAAGGTGGTGTTGGAGCCAGGCCCTGGGAGGATTTCTCTAGGGAGAGAAAGGGGAACAGTATGAACAAAGCCATGAAGATGCAGGCTATGTTTGGCAAGTATAAGAAGCCCTAAATAGCTAGAACTTAGTATTTCAGCATGAAAATGTAAGGGACTAAGAACATAAAATTAGGACCAGATGGGGCCTTGGGTTTTAGCTCTGCCACTTTTTAACTGTGAATGGTTCAAGGCCTTCATTTCTTCATCTATAAAATAAGGAAAATGGGGATGATAGTAATAATAATATACCTTCTTCATTGGGTTTTTGTTTTTCTGAGGATTAAATGAGAGAGCCCTGGCACGCAGTAAGCACTCTAACTTTATGTGGCCCAACCAAATAAAATAGGCCCAGCAGTGAACTAGGACGAGACACAGAATCTTAATGTTTGTCTCTCACGGTTTGCGTGTTTTTTGCAAAGCGTCTTGGAAATGCTAAAGCCTGTTCCAGCCTTTAGTTCCTGGGTTCCTGGGGGAGTTCTGCTCTCAGCCCTCTTCATTCACAGTAGGACCCAGACATCCTTTGTGGGTTTTGCTGAGCTGTTCCCTTTCCCGGGGGAATGTATTTCCCTCTGTGTCACAATTTTCAGCTGAAGTTGTCTCATCTTTGCAGTGGGATGTTTCATACTGTTTGGACATCTGGATAAACGGAGTCACTGGTCTCAGGGCCTGTGTGTAGAACTCATGCCCATGACAGATTGTGTCCTGTTACCTCCTCCTACAGGATGAGAGTGAGCTTGTTTTTGTCTTGGGTTGCCTTCTCCTGCTTAAAGATAAGACTTTTTCCAGTTTTAGAAGTTAATTTATTATACTGTGATAGTTCAAAACTAAAACAGTACTAACAGGTAAACTTTAAATTCTTGCTTCTACCCATGTTCCATCCACCTCATTTTTGTACCTCCATCACCCCCAAGGAACCATTGAGATTAGTTTCTTATACAACGTTCCAAAGTTTCTTTATGCAAAACTCAGGCAACTGCAAATACACATTCTTATTTTTCCCTCTTTTTCGTTTTAAAGGAGCATAATCAACATACTGCTCTACACTTGGCTTTTTTCAAGTATTCTGTCTGGGTATCAGGAGATTCTTCCATATTATACAGAGAGTGCATATGTGTTGACGAGTCTGTAAAGCCCTCAGGATCAGGCAGAACGTACCCAGCAGGTTATCAGAGAACATTCGGTTGGCAGGCTGGGAGGACGGGGTCATGGAGGGGACTCCCCAGCAGTGAGGAGACAGCAGCAAGCAGGGAATCTGCGGTCAGCCTTCACCTGAGCCGTTTCACTGAGCACTCCCTGCACACGGAGGAAAGCTGGACAGGAGGGAAAAACCTCTCCTTAGGCCCATGCAATTACAGATATCCCCTGGCTGGGCGACTCCTAACCCTGAGACCCACCAGTCACAACACTCTCCCCAGGGAAGAGGCCGGTCTGGAGGACAGGTGCGAGGCAGATGGTCCAAAGGCCGTGGTTCCCAAGGCTAGGGCCCCACTCTGCTCATCCTTCATGGATACCCCCAAGAGGCTCCCTTCACAAGCTGTTGTGAACTGGAGCTTGTAACTTCCACACCACGGGGAAACAAGCTGGATGCCATTCTCTTGCACTACACTCTGCCCTAAAACACTCCAGAGCTGGACACGGACTCCACCTCCCCTTGCTGTTTCTTTTGCTCAGCTGGAAGTAAGGAAAGCTTTGTGTGTTTGTGTTTCAGGAGTCGTGCAGCATTTGCAGAACGGCCAGCTGCTGAGGGACATCTATCTAAAGAAACACAAACTCCTGCCCAATGATTGGTCTGCAGACCAGCTGTATTTAGAGACCACTGGGAAAAGTCGGACCCTACAAAGTGGGCTGGCCCTGCTTTATGGCTTTCTCCCAGATTTTGACTGGAAGAAGATTTATTTCAGGCACCAGCCAAGTGCGCTGTTCTGCTCTGGAAGCTGCTATTGCCCGGTAAGAAACCAGTATCTGGAAAAGGAGCAGCGTCGTCAGTACCTCCTACGTTTGAAAAACAGCCAGCTGGAGAAGACCTATGGGGAGATGGCCAAGATCGTGGACGTCCCCACCAAGCAGCTTCGAGCTGCCAACCCCATAGACTCCATGCTCTGCCACCTCTGCCACAATGTCAGCTTTCCCTGTACCAGAAATGGCTGTGTCGACATGGAGCACTTCAAGGTAATTAAGACCCATCAGATCGAGGATGAAAGGGAGAGACGGGAGAAGAAATTGTACCTTGGGTATTCTCTCCTGGGTGCCCACCCCATCCTGAACCAAACCATCGGCCGGATGCAGCGTGCCACCGAGGGCAGGAAAGAAGAGCTCTTTGCCCTCTACTCTGCTCACGATGTCACTCTGTCACCAGTTCTCAGTGCCTTGGGCCTTTCAGAAGCCAGATTCCCAAGGTTTGCAGCCAGGTTGATCTTTGAGCTTTGGCAAGACAGAGAAAAGCCCAGTGAACATTCCGTCCGGATTCTTTACAATGGCGTCGATGTCACATTCCACACCTCTTTCTGCCAAGACCACCACAAGCGTTCTGCCAAGCCCATGTGCCCGCTTGAAAACTTGGTCCGCTTTGTCAAAAGGGACATGTTTGTAGCCCTGGGTGGCAGTAGTACAAATTACTATGATGCATGTCACAGGGAAGGATTCTAAAAGGTATGCAGTACAGCAGTATAGAATCTGTGCCAATACAGGGCACTGGGAAAAGTCCACTTCTAGTTCTGTCTGTTGCTAAGGGTAGAAGATTATTGCTTTTTAAAGGCTAAATATTGTTTGTGGGAATCACAGATGGTTGGGGTTGAACAGTAAGCACGTTGCTGTGATGTGGTATGTGAATTTCTTGGTACAAAATGGCCAGTTCGTAGAGGAATAGAAGGTATTTTGTCACAGCCAGACTTTGCTTAGAATGCCAGAATAATATAGTTCAAGACCCGAAGTCACCAATCCAGGTTTGCACTCCTCCGGCCTGCCCCATGGTACTATGTGATGGAACCAGCACACCTCAGCCAAAAATTTTTTAATCCTAGACATTTTTACCTTGCCCTTTCTAAGAATTTCTTAAAGTGATTTATCTAAAATAGGGGTTGCAAACTTTTTCTGTAAAGGGCCAGATTGCAAATATTTCCGACTATGTGGACCAAAAAGCCACAGACAGTCTCTGTCATAACTACTCAACTCTGTTCCTGAAGCAGGAAAGCAACCACAGACAGTATGTGAAGGAATATGTGTAGCTGGGTTCCCAGGCCAGACAAAACAGATGGTGGCCAGATTCGGCTCCTGGGCTGTAGTTTGCTAACCCCTGATCTAAAAAATAGGCTATACTACAATTGCACTTCCAGCACTTTGAGAACGGGTTGAATACCAAGAATTATTCAATGGTTCCTCCAGTAACTTCTGCTAGAAACACAGAATTTGGTCTGTATCTGACACTAGAACAGAACTTGAGGGCAAATAAACATTGAATTAGAATGAATCATAGAAAACTGATTAGAAGAATACTTGATGTTCATGATGATTGTGGTACAAGATAGTTTTAAGTATGTTCTAAATATTTGCTGTAGTCTATTTGCTGTATATGCTGAAATTTTTGTATGCCATTTAGTATTTTTATAGTTTAGGAAAATATTTTCTAAAACCAGTTTTAGATGACTCTTATTCCTGATGTAATATTCAGTGTACTGTACCTGCTTGGTGGTTAGAAGGAGGCTAGAAGATGAATTCAGGCACTTTCTTCCAATAAAGCTAATTATGGCTCATTCCCTTTGACAAGCCGTAGAATTGGGTTCATTTTTAAACCATTTTCATCAGTTTCAAATGGTAAATTCTGATTGATTTTTAAATACGTTTTTGGAAGAACTTTGCTATTAGATAGTTTACAGATCTTTATAAGGTGTTTTATATATTAGAAGCAATTATGATTACATCTGTGATTTCTGAACTAATGGTGCTAATTCGAGATATGGGAAGTGCAAGTGAGATTCTCTGGCGTCATTGGCATTCCAGCTTTTTCTCTTTGTTTTTGTCAAGTGTTGCATTTGAATATGTCTGTTTCTATAAATAAATTTTTGAAGAATACCTATACTATACAACTCACGGTTTGTACCTGTAAGTCACTCAAGTTATTTTCAAGTGAGAGCCAGTATTTTATTTTTCCCCCTTCATTCAAATGTCATGCAGAGAACCAGTATTTTACAATTTTGTTTTAACTGCTTCACTTATTGCTGAAAGTTGTGTTCTCTCTCAAGTATTCAAAGACTGTGTTTTTTTTTCTTCCCACTCACAATATATCTGAATTAGAACTGCTAAACACAGCTTGAAGATTTAAAAATAAAAGTGACTCAGAAGATTTTTTAAAAAATCAATAGATAGTATCTGTTGGTAAAAGTAAATATTGTGGCTAAGAGTCAACATCAGAAGTGTAGATAAAAGTTTTGTCTTCTAGGACACTGGTACACACAGCATTAAAATATCTTCCTCACTATCAAGTTCCGAGACACTTCATTCCATTACAAACACTAGGCACAGAGGTGAGATCAGCAGACACAGTCATAGGCCTTGGTTTCTGGGCAGTGGTCTAATGACTTAATTCATGACAGGCCTGGGTGTATACATGCATAATTTAGCTTCCTTGTTTTTATGATTAATACATGCCCACTAGAAAATAACCAATACTGAAAAACAACTTCAGAAGTGATGTTCTCATCTAATCCTGCCTCCAGAGGTAACGTTGTGAGCTGTCTGACAGATATTCTTCTGGAAAAGTTCCATGCAGATTCAGAAATATATGTAGTTTTTAATAGGAACTAGATCATTTTTTATATATGTAAATATATGTGTGTGTATGACTTGTTTCCCTTAAAAATATTTTTCCTTTAAAAATACTTTTTATTGGCCAGGCGCGGTGGCTCACACCTGTATTCCCAGCACTTTGGGAGGCCGAGGCGGGCGGATCACGAGGTCAGGAGATGGAGACCATCCTGGCTAACACGGTGAAACCCCATGGCTACTAAAATTAGCCAGGCATGGTGGCAGGCACCTGTAGTCCCAGCTACTCGGGAGACTGAGGCAGGACAATGGCGTGAACCCGGGAGGTGGAGCTTGCAGTGAGCTGAGATCGCGCCACTGCACTCCAGCCTGGGCCACAGAGCAAGACTCCGTCTCAAAAAAAAAAAAAGTATTAACTTGTGTCTTTTAATAGTATGTCTTAGAAGTATTTCTCACTAATTTGCTTCCCTTAACGGTATGTCTTAAAGATATATCCATGTTAAGATGATAGATGATTGATTGATTGATTGTGTATAAATGTAGATGACTCTTTATAGCCACTGAATAATATTTCATGGTATAGATTAGACATATTTTTTAAATCTCACTAAAAATCCATGAAACTTAAAACCAAGGTACTAAAAACAGGACTACAAGGCTTTACACAGAACAAAGTAGAGACTTCTTCATTGTGGCTTCAGGTATTTATTGATGTAAGTTTTTGTTTTTGTTTTTGTTTTGAGACGGAGTTTCACTCTTGTTGCCCAGGCTGGAGTGCAGTGGCGCGATCTCGACTCACTGCAACCTCCGCCTCCCAGGTTCAAGCAATTCTCCTGTGTCAGCCTCCTGAGTAGCTGGGATTACAGGTGTGTGCCACCACGCCCAGCTAATTTTGTATTTTTAGTGAGACGGGGTGTCTCCATGTTGGTCAGACTGGTTTTGAACTCCCACCCGCCTCTGCCTTCCATAGTGCTGGGATTACATGCATGAGCCACCGTGCCCAGCCTGGTGTAAGTATATTCTTTCTCTAACTTCACTTTAAACGAAATTGAGGAACTTAATCTAATATTGCTATTAAGCCTATTTGAGGGTTTTCATAGCCATAGCAGAATTAGACTTTCTGGAAGATTTAGGTGATTCCTTTTTCCAGAAGTCTTAAGGACTGATTAGAGAGAGGCAGAGATACATGCTTCCGTTTCTCTGAATCTCTGGGAAGCCTTCTGAACAGATTTAGCAGCCCAGACAAGGGTGGGTGTGCCCCTGTGTGTTTAAACACAACCACAAGTAGCAGAAAATAGCTGGCGTTTATGTTGCAGTTGTGGCTTTAAGAGCAGCCAGCACAGAGCTCTGGCCTAAACACCAGTTAACTCCCATTGCCCAAGGCCACTGAACTGAAGGTTTGGGTTGTCCCCCTGTATTTGTGCCTGCCCAGCAGCCAGCTCAGATGAGTAATAGCTTCTGCTGAAGAGGAAGCGGCTGAACGCATCAGAGCAGCTGGGCAGGCCTTCTCGAAGCCCGACTGCCAGCGGAGACTGGTCCTGGTGAGGAGAAGGCATCCCTGAGGGCCAGCTCAGCTCCTGAGAGCTACAGAGCCCTTCAGCAGAGGGACGGCCTGAGGCCTGCCTTCTGGACAACTTTGTCAGCAGTAAAGTTGCCATGTAGTGCCAACTACATGGGTTCCACAAGTGTTTCTTCATCAATCTTCACAACATTCTGAGGAAAGTCCTAGTTCCCTAATGTGAATGAGGAAAACAGGCGGCGACTGGGGGGGCCAGCAGGGGTTGAAGTCACTTTTTCAAAGGAAGAGTCAGAGCTGAGTCTAACTCATGTTCACACGATACCAGTGAACTGAAGAGCACTTAACAGCCGGGCACGGTGGCTCATGCCTGTTATCCCAGCACATTGACAGGCTGAGGCGGGAGGACTGCTTGAGCCCAGGAATTTGAGATGAGCCTGGATAACATAGGGAGATGCTATCTCTACAAAAAATTTAAAAAATTAGCTGGGAGTGGTGGCACATGCCTGTGGTCCCAGCTCCTTGGGAGGCTGAGATGGAAGGATTGTTTAAACCCACAGGGGTTGAGGCTGCATTGAGCTGTGATTGTGCCACTGCACTCCACGTGGGTGACAGAGTAAGACCCTGTCTCAAAAAAAAAACAAAAAATACAAAAACCACCACTATATGAGATACCATGGGAACATTTACACCATTTCATTAATCTTCACAGTAGTCCTACCAGATACTATATTTGCTGGCAAATATCGATGAATAATATAATGGGGTTAAAGTAGTTCTACATTTAAATCTAAACGGTTAGGGGAATATTCCAACTCTGCCTCCAACCATCTGTGGCTTGCTATTCTTAAGAAAACTTACAATGTAAAATGTATCTTTGCAGCAGTTACATTACATTACATTCAACCACTAGGGGGCAGCATCAACACAATTTTTCAGTCTTCCATCTGTAAAGGAAGCAGGGTAGTTTGAGGGTGTTTTAATAGGTTGAGCAGTTGTCCAGGTTTGCCTGACATTGAGTAGTTTCCCAGGATGAGGGGCTTTCAGTGCTTAAAAAACAGGAAAGTCCCAGGCAAACTGGAACAAGTTGGTTACCCTGGTGTTATACGTTGAGACGGTAGTGAGAAACTACTGTCATTCCCACTGTTACAGAAAAGGGAACCACAGGAGTAGTTCGTCTGAGGCTCCACATGGCTGCTGGTGTGCAGCAGAGCTGGGACTCCCACTGTGCCCATTTCACACGCAGGACCATGCTCTTAAGCAGGGTATATGATAATGCCTCCTGAACCATTTAGGACTGCCTTTGGTTCCGTGCTACCGAAACCTGATGACAGTGGCCTAAGCAATAGAGCCTTTCACTCTCGCCCGTGGCACCACGATGTCATCAGGAACCCAGACTCCGTTCGCCTCTCACTGGCCAGAGCGGGGCCTCTTGGCTTCCTCCGCTGTAAAGGAGTCTAGGGAAGTGAGGATCTTTATTGGGCACAATGCTGTCCCAAACAAGCTCAGCCTCCTTTTACTTGAGAAAAAAGGGAAAGTGGTGGTGGGTAGAGAACTAGCAGTGACTACCACACTCTCCAAAGCCACCTTTACACCGAAGTGTGGATGCTGCGCCACCCAGATCTCCCACTTCAGGACTTCTTCCCCCAATTGCTGGTGGTGCTCCGCTGTCAGTGCTTTCAGGGCACTGCTCTGGAGCAGAGAGCCATCTGCTGAAGGACATGCTCCTTCCCAGGGCAGCCACTTCCAATGATTGGTCAGAATAGGGATTGGAAGGCCCAGGGACAACCCGAGGGGCCATCCCAGATTCAGAGCTCCTTTGGGGTCAGCCAAGGCCTTGTGACTGCAACACAGCCCAACTTCTGCCTCATCCAGCATCCTTCACAGTGTTGAGAGCACTCCCCAGCAACCCCCTGCACCCACATCTGTCTCAGAATCTGCCTCTTGGGAACTGACCTGAATGGAAGGCAAGCAAATCCTAGAGGCTAAGGTCTCTGCTAGCATGGGCAGGAAAGCTGGACTTATTTCTAGAAAAGGGATAAGTGTCTATTGATGACTAATAGATCTTCTATCACTTCCTTCAAGAGGCTTACCATTTTATTACAGAAGCTAAGTATGCACATATGAAGCAGTAGGAAAAATTTGATTTCAGACAATCCAAAGCTAATTACAGAGGGCTGTGACACCAAGACTTACCATTTGTTAAACATGTACCATGGGCTGGACACTAGGCTGAGCATTCAACTAACATAGTCTGTGCATCTCACAGTATGAGCGAGCACCTGAAGAAGGCATTTATTATCCCCATTTCACTAGTAAGGAAAGCTCTGAGCTCTGAGGCTCGGAGGTAGTCATGTATGTAAGATCGTACAGTCAATAGTAAGTGGCCAACTCAGGACTGGAATGTGAATTATCCTAGACTATAAAGCTCTTCCAGGTCCCTCTAGCTTGGTACCTCTCCCTGCACCCCCTATTCCATTATGACCACACAAGAGAATAAGTGAACTTGACACTTGGGCTACAGTCAAGAGTCTACTCTGCTCAAGAGGATGATCCCCTTCTCGCATCTCTATATGGATATTTCTATTTCTAGCTCCTTTTGTTTCTTTTCCCATTTTTTCCTAATGTAGCTTTTCCAAGAAAATAGAATCTTCTTATAATAGATTGTCTCAGCCTGGGCTCCCTTGAAGCAGAGTGTGAGGGGGGAAAAAAAAAAAAAAAAAAAAAAAAAAAAAAAGCTTAAATGTAGGTAGTTTGTTAAGTTTGTAGGGGATGTGGTCCCAAAGGAGCAGGAGTGGAAGACAGAGG